TTTTAATATAATTTTGAAATTTGACTCTTAAAGGGGTCTATTCTGTAACAATTCCTTTATATTTAACGGCCTTTAAAAATATTGGCGGCTTTTAAAAATATTTTCGTATTCGTTAATTTACTTCTGTCATTACTTTAACAGATTTCTTTAAGATAGTCCTCTAATGTATTTTAAAGATCCGTTTAAATAATGACAGAAGTAAAGAAGAAAATATTTTTAAAGGCCGTTAAATATAAAGGAATTGTTACAGAATAGACCCCAATGTCTTGTAAATGCTTTTTTTAAATTCGCCAAAATTAGTGGCAAAAACGCCTCGATAAGTGTTGCCTTCTGTTGTAACTATCGTGTTGTACCACTCTCACAGTCATCATTCGTTTTCTGCAATGATTTACACTAGTTTACCTCAGAAGAGGCGTTTTAGCCACTAATTTTGCCGAATTTTAAAAAAGCATTAACAAGACAGCTTAAATTTATGGAAGATGCTGAATAGTAGGAAGTTTGTTAACTGCCATTAAGTAGTCAGGGATATTCTAGGACTTACTTTATTTGAAAATTAATCGTTCTGAAAAATATTTAAATTTATAATTAATATTTTCTAAAACTACTAATTGTTTCACTGTGTGCTGTTGCCAAAACCGCCCAACTACGCTATTATGGGATTTTCTTTTCTTTTTCCCACGGGTGAATGAATCTTCCTTCAGGACCCCAAAGCTGGTGACAGTGCTATCCCATCCCTTAATAGTATTGCCATGAGAACGCCTGAGCCGACTCTGTCTAGAGCGTGACGTGAAGTCTGCCACCAGACTCATGGTCGTAACCGGAATCTTCTAGGTATGCCGCTGACGCATAGGGCAAGCACTTCGCGAACACTTCGAAATTCTTCTAGCAGGATTGGTTTTTTCTGGGCCATTAAATTTTTATATAAATAGCCGCGACTTTGTCGATAGGGGGAGATTCAATTTACGGCTGTTCTATCGCTTTCCGTTCGGTCGAAGTTGAGATGAGGTAGAGTAAAACAAACTTAAGTTTGGTACACCCACGTGTCGATCCGATGGTTGCGCCGTAGATTTGTTGACTATCGTTACCATGCCAACCCCTAACACAGCGATGGTCAGTACCGTAGCGTAAAGAGGCGAATAGGTGAAACAATTTGCATCTATGTGGTATATCTAGTGCTCTTTTTTATTCAAGTGGTGTATTTCCTTATTCTTATTTGTTTAATTTAGTGCCGTAGTAGTTATAGTAGAGTAGCAATAATAGTTAGTGTATAAGTTTAGTCATAGTATCTACATAGTTAATTTAGAAATAAAAGTGATTTGGACGATATGGCTCCGAAAAAAATTGGCAGAATGGGACAGGGGTTACGCAGTCAAACAAAAGAAATCATTAATAATATTTCGAAATTTATGGAAGAAGAAGCGGCCCACTTCAATGCTACCAAGGACGTATTGATACCTTTAAAGAATTTTAGGTGAGTATTTTTAATTACATAATAATATTTTAATTATGTGGAACTATTCAGATACGATACCATTGTGAAATTAAAAAAATGTTTATGCTCCTGCTGTATTGGCATAATTCACAGAGTACCTATAGGCTGAATCAATAATCATTCATTTAAAATGAGTTTCTTTAAAATACTTTATACCTGCAGGCAGTGGTATATTGTATTTTATATTGTAACATTTCGTGTTTGGTTGTGCTATTTACTTGTTGGACAATTAAACAAATATTAGAATAGTAAAAATAAAATAAGATTTTCAATATATTTTCAGAGAACGGATTTTAGCAGCGACAGGTGTAAGTAAAAACACCCTTCAGAAAATAAGGAAAGAAGGGCGAGAATTAAATAGAAATATAGCATGTTCTTCTTTTTTAAGTCCGAAACGAAAACGTCGTCGTGACAAAAAACTATTAAAAAAATATGGGCCTTGGTTAAAAATTGGGTGGCATCTCACAATACAACTTTCGTGTTAAACGATGAAGTAAGTTTAGCACGAACGAAATTTGCTGATGTATCCATAAAGGAGTGGGCTAACATATGTAGCCATGTCAAGAAGTATGAAGATGCTCAAATTGAAAAGGAGCATTTATTGGACGCAGTCATGGATACCTTGAAATTTACTGTCAACACTGGTTCATCAGAGAAAAGCTTTACTGAAGATGATGAAAGTTTAGGAATAGAATTCTTAGATTCAGAATCGTCCGATGAGGCATCATAGTGTACATTTTTATTGTTATTTCTAATTTGTACCTTTCTCCTCTTATGTATTAAATGTCTATAACGTTAATTTAAGTATCTAGTAAAAGTAATAAACCAACAATTTTTAAAAATTATCCTTTTTTTTTTTGAAAACTTGCTTATGCTAATTTTTTATAAAGTACCTATTGCTACGTAGGAATATACATGTACTTTATTGTAGTTAACAAGTTTTCCACAACTACATTTTATGACAAACTCACAATAATTTAAAATATACGCTGCGTAAGTTAGGTTGTTTAGTGGATCCAATTAAGTACATTTATTAACCTGCATGTGTATTCTAAATTAAAAAAGCATAACAACTTACGTACCTATTGTACAAAGCAAATTAATTACCTTTCGAATTTTGATAATTACATGCATAAAAAAGTATTTCTATTTTTCCATTTATTTTTGTCCCCGCCACTGACAAACAAAGCCCGCCTATATGCGCAGATTAGTATGCAACCAACATTTGCTGTACCAAACTTAAATTTGTTCTACTCTACCTCATCCATTTCATAAAATATCTCTGTACGCAACCCCCAAAAACAATTGCACGTGTAATAATTCTATCTTTCTCCGTTCAGTCTAATAGGACGCCTACCTTTCTCTCCCACTGAAACGGGGGATGGTCAAATTTGTCGGTATATTGTAACTCTCGGTTATATATCTATGATTGTAACTATTGTGTTGATAGTAATTTCTTTGAAGATAATATTTTTATTACTTCGACGACGGATTCGAAAGTTTTCTTTCTTCAACTAGTGGAATTATTTTTTAAATAAATGATTAACTACATTTAAATTAATTTTATTAATATTCTAAGGTGAAATAGTAAAGTATTTTTATACATATAATTGAAGACATAAGTGGATAAAAAAATTATTTCGAGAAAAAAAAAGTTTAAAGTTTTACAATTGCATTATGATATATGGCTCATGACACCTTCCTATCTGATGAATAGACGGTATTTATCAAAATTGGAAATCAGAACTATCACAAACAAAAAATATAGTATATTTTAAGAATATTAGGCAATAAAAATATTTTTTTAAAAAATGTGACAACACCTTTATCCACTTCAATTATTGATCGTATTTTTTTGTAAATAAACATTATTGTTGTTATAACTTATATTCGATAATATAGACTTGGTATCCGCGCGAAAGCTTTGGATGGCTTTATTTATGGTATATTTAAAGTAAGAAACTGATTTTTGGAAAATGCTTTAATATACAGTTGTACATACATTTTAAACAAAATGCATTAATCTCACAATTAATTTTGGTAGTGCAGATGAAAATTTTTTTGAAAAATATTTTATTGTATGCATGTATATTTTATTGTACCTCTACATATTATATATGCTGTTTTAATTTTATAAAAAAATATAATGTACCTATTAATTTTATGTTTTCTTCGTTCACTGAAAGTAGAAAGGTCAAAATAAATTAAATACTTGAATTAAAAAAAAAACTTTATTTACCTACTATTTATAATGAAACATTTTATTTCACATAACAAAATACAATCACAACAAAAAATAAATTACATCAATTTCTTCTTACGTTTGTTAAATATTTTAAATAAAAATCAACTAACTTTGGTTTATTAGCATATAACCAAAAATTGTCATCTCTCTCAATTTTCTCAACGAACATTCCTAGTGGTCCAAACTATAAAATAACAATATTTGGCTTTCGTTATACCCAATTGCCCTTGTACCTGATGATAATAATTATCATTTTTTTTAATTTAATTTGGCCATCTGTATTGGCTAGATATTTTTTTTTCTTGATTTCCCATTTCTGGTATCAATTTGGAACAAGAATATGGATATTTAATTTCAATTATTTCATTATTATTAATAATGCCGTCTGGACTTGCTCTCAAGTATGGATATTTTTCATAAATAAATGATCGACATTCTTGTACCGTTTTCCCATATTTATTTTTAAATTCTTCTAGCGCAATGATTCATGGTCTTATCCTCATTTTGTAGCGACTGATCCGTAAAAAGAAATTAATATATTATTAACAGTCTTTTTTGGATCTGTTGTTTTGCGTAATTTACAAACGGTTCCAAAATTTGAAGTCGTAAGCATATTACTACGATGTTCTTTCCACAGATCATTACTGGCCTGACCTCTAGTAGATACTTCAATTTTACAAATATCATCTATTGATTTTGATAAACTATCCAAAAATTGCAGTTTTTTTGTTCCAAAATATCGTCGTCATCATCGCATTGAAGACCGTAGTCCCTATCTTTAGGTGCGCCACTTTTGCGTTTTTTTAATAGAAGGCCCCTGGCTTTTCTACTACATCTACCTTTGCTCATTTGAGTAACCAATCTTTGTATGTGAATCCCAGGAACACTCTTTGACAGCTTTTTATAAAGAGTGGGAATATAGTTCTTTTTTATTAAATGGCTGCAGTTGTACAACGAACACTATATCCTCCTTTTACTGCAAAATTAATTCTCTTTCCTCCAACAAATTTGGCTACGATTGAATGTTTTGGTGTTAAAACCTTTAGCTGGTTCCAACTATGAACTCTAATATTTTGTGGACTGAATTTAATATAAATTATAAGTTATTTTTCTATTTTAATCTTTATTTAAAATTTCATTTGACATTGTATTTTTCAATCTACAATGACGGTTTCTAATAACATTTTTTCGCTATATAAATTTCAGTGTCGTAACAAAAATACTAAACATTGAATTATATGTTCCTGCAGCATTATGTCATTTTTAATAATAAACTGTGTCTGTTATGAACCAGCCATTAACAGCAGATACAATGTCATCCGTTAGTCCGCATTCTTCAATTTCTGTCACATAATCTCTATCATTTTGTTGTCTTTTACAAAAATATTGTGCACAGTTTGAATGATTTCCAAATGTGTGGTAAGGAGAGGTTTTAATGTCTGCAGTTAATTGCTTCACGTTGTCAACAATATCACTGGTAATTTTTCTGTGGTAATTTACAGCCGATTTAATTCCCACTCGTAACTTCAAAATTCTATCACTCAAAACTTTTTTTAGTCGTGGACTTACTATTTTGTTTTTTGGACTGTATTTTTTTGTATTTGTGCAATAATTTCTGAGAAGATGGTTTATGCATTCTACTTTGCTGACCATTGTTCTTCCATAGAATCTCTCTAAGCAATTTTTTTGGTAAACACTGCTGGCTCCATCGCCAATCATTTTTACATATTTTAATTTTTGCATTTTTATGCTATTACGGAATCCTTCTAAAATTAGTTCCGATTTCATAGAAGTCGACAAACCATCCCATTGAACATTTATGAGTTGCAGCTTTTATGTTTTTAGTTAAAGCTCGAGCACAGATAGGAGAATACTTACTTTTAGAAGAAACATACAAAACTTTTCCAGTTTTCGCCCCAATAATGCAAGCCTGTAAAAATAAGTGCATTAAAAAATAAACCCTTTATATGCTATGTCAAATATGAAAATGTTTCTTAAGTAGACCATGGAAAAATCACGCATGACGGATTCTTCACAATTCTGTCGGTCATGGCTTACTTTAGAAACATTGTTTTTGAATCACACGTTGTAATATTAAAATATAAACTAAGAACTCCAGATAAAGCGTTATAATTAATTTTATATGACCGCTTAGACTATGCACCGTAAAAAATCACTGCAATTAGACCATTTCCTTGTTCATCTACTTCTCCAATATCTTTTGCTAATTGCAATTCTTCCAGTCCTACTTGTTCCATGGCGTCCCAAGCTGCTTCAAAAATACTTTTACTTACCAACTCATTATGAGCCGAGCATTGTCGAAGACATTGTGGGGTGTTAGTACATTGGGATTTGAAATTAGCAATTAGCAAAATAATAAAGGTTACTTTTATAATATTTCCAATAAATTAAAAATTAATATAATCTGTTTTTAGGAATATTTTGAAAATTGTACATTGTTTTCAACTCGAAATATTTCTCAAAATATTTATGAATTCCAATATAATTTGGAAATTAATCAATAAAAATCATATTCGCACATCAATCAAATTATATTTATTTTTCTTTAGTAAAATGTATAATAAAAATCTGATGTGTCCAACACATGACTTTCCTATCTAGTTATTACAGGCTTTTTCCGTTTATTGTGTACAACCTATTGCAGCATCTCTATAAATGTTTAGAGGATAAACTAAATATATACATTGTCCACATACATCTACCGCGAAACATTTTTCTATAGATATTCATTGAAAATGAAAATACTGAAAAATTTAAATTTAGCACTTTTCCTACAATTTTTCCATTACGGTCCATTTAAAAAAAATCATGTATGAACAAATATTATAGAGATCGATATCGCAAACAACTTTTATTTCAACAATTTTCATAAAAATCAGAATTTTGCAAATTTTGTCAAATTTCTCGAATACAGACCATTTCAGGAAATTTTTACATAAGGCAAAAATTATAGATAATAATATTAGAAGTAACTTTTATTTGAACAATTTTCTTCTCCCAACATTAATAATAGATATATTCCAGAAAATATAAAAACGGCTTCCCATAAAGTACTCCCTCAGATGTTCCGACTTTGTCCAAAATCTAATCATTTTACGTCAGGCCGAAATAAAACTTATATTTAAAATTTAATGTTTTTTTCTTTATCCGTTCTTGAGTTTTCTTCAAAATTCGAAATTTACATATTTTCTCAGATATCTCGAATACGGTCCATTTTAGAGAAATTATGTATGGGATAAAAATTATAGAGAATTATATTACAAACAACTTTTATTTGAACAATTTTTATAAAAAATTATTTTTTTTACATTTTGTCAAATTTCTCGAATACGGATCATTTTAAGAAAATTTTGTATATAACAAAAATTATAGATAATAATATAAGTACCTTTTATTTGAAAAATTTTCTTGTCCAAACGTTAATAACAGATATGCCATAAAATATAAAAATGACCACCTATAAAGTACTCCCCCAGATGTTCCGACTCTGCCCAAAATCTAATCAGTTCATTGGACGCCGGAATAAAGCTTAAGTTTAAAATTTGGTATTTTTCTTTGTATTGGTTCATGAGTTATGGAGAATACAGACACACACACACACACATATACACAAACATACACACATACTCACACACACACACACACACGCACATACACACACACGCACGCACCCACCCACACCCACACACACGCACGCACATCATCGCGAAAATAGTCAAAACGGATTCAGGAGACCTCAAAACGGATTCAGGAGACCTCAAAACGTAAAAATCCGTCGAAAACTCGAGGTCGAAAAAAAATCATGATTCCTATACTTTCCTTATATCTGTATACAGATAGGAAAGTAAAAATAGAAGAAAAAAATCAGCTACAAACTTCAGTTTTCCAAACATATCTGCAAATTGATAAAGTTTAATATTCATTTTTATTTTTTATTTAAAAAACTAGGGTGTAACAAAAAATTAAAAGACTGGAGATTATTAGGGTGTTTCTTTTGAATACTTCAGCAAAAAATGAAATTATACTGATAAGAAATAATTAAAATATATGGACAATGCTAAAATAGTGAACCGCGAAAACAGCCTTAAGTGTTGGTCAGTAAAAACAAACTGTAATAAATTAGAGTTAGTGTCTAAATATTATATAAATTCATTGGTACGTTATAAATAAATTGTAAATAAAGTGTTTTAAATAAATAAACTATAAATTAAACAAACCTTACAGTATCTTAATAATAGTGATCTAAATTAGTTATACTACTTAAGAGACTTAGCAATTAAATTGCTGTTCTAGACTGCTGGTGGCCGTACGACTGACAGAGGCGCGCTCAAGGGGGTTAGGGGTACTACAATAAAACTCAGTGCAGACATAAACTATTATTTTATTATTTAGTAGGTAGGGCATGTAAGAAGAAAATAAAAATTCTTGATGGGTAAAAGAATAATTTATTCTTACTTAATCGTTTAAATAAAATAAATTGTATAAAGATAAAAATAACAAATTATTAATCGACATCATTTTTAGCTTCAAATTGTAAATAAAACAATCCACAACTAGACAGACTTCAATTTTATACCATCATTAAACAATTCGTATGGTAACTGAGCAGGTGCTCCTAAAACAAAAAGTACTCTTAATACATTTTGATACAAATCGACATTTATTTCATTAAATACAAACTGTCTACTTATATATTATTGAATTATCGACATTTACTCACTTCCAGTATAAAACAGTCCTGTTTTGAAATGTAATTAATCAAAAAAGACATTAATGTATTTATCTCGACACCAGTCAGTCCTTTCAAGTAGAAAAATATAAAAGCTATTTCTCTTTTAACAATACTCTCATCTTTGTAACTCTTCTTTGTCAGAATTATTTTGAGCGAATTTAAATTACCTGAAAAGAAAAATGCAACGAATTTCATTTCAAACATTACTAAAAGTTAAAATACTAACACAAAATTTTTGACAGATTTGATTTTACAGCATTAAGAAATGGAACACAATTCTTTCTTGCCAACTCCAGTAAAGTTTCAACAGTTAAATCGCTAATTTGTGGTTTACATAACAGTTCTGGTAACGATGACAGCCACACATGGTACTGGGATGAACTAAAAATAATAAATTTAATTATTACTTCTTCAATCATTGGTATTTTTTCAAAGTAATATTTTTGCACATTGGATGGATAACCTCTAATCGACTGATTTCTCAATATAGGCGTTTTCTCATGCGTTTTCTAATATTCATCGATGTCATCTAGATTTCATCAAAACATATTCTTAAATTCAACCTAATTCTCAGATGGTTGTCACCAAATCCATCAACTCGATTATGTTGATGCACTGATGGATCACGTGACATACCCTTAATGATTAATATTAAACAAATAAGGAAATAGGAAAAGTTTGCTTGAAATTCCTAATAATATGAATGAAGAAACTCACTCAGTTTTTTAAACCAACCTTTAAGTGGGCTAACTTTTAAAATAAGATTGTTAGCGTTAGATATACAGCAAGCAAATGAAGACAGGTATATATTTTTTCAATTATTGTATTGCCTCTACTTGTCTTTAGTTTTTATGCTTATCAAATAGTCTTCGAATTGTTTGTTTTCATTAAATAAAGACAGTTTGACAGGTAAAATTATAAAATCACAAATGTCAGTCGTTCTCAAATAATTTTCATCAGATAAAAATCATGATTGCAGCAGTCGGCCATTTATTGGTCACGTGATCCATCATCAGTGAATCATTTTGTTGAATATTAGAAAACGCCTTATATATTTAAAAATCTAATTTACAGTTAAATTAAAGATAAAGGTCTAATTTCGACAGTCTTACCGATGTATGAAGATATTCTAGTAGGATAACCTTATGGAGAGATCATTGGAGGACGATGAACATAGAATGTAGGTGGTGAAACTGTATTTATGTCCAAGGTCTTTAGGTCATGTCTGTACTTGAGTATGAATTATAATTTAAAATCTTCTTTTTCATTTCTACTTGTCTTCGGTAATATATTTTTATAGTTACAATTGCAAATTATTACAAAAGGGTATTTGAAGGACACATAAAAAATGCCAAAATAATCAATATGATAAAATAAACCAGTTTTTGTTTTGGTTTGGAAAAGTGAATGAGTTGAGATTGGGTGGAATTTTACTATAATAGGGAACATTTTTTCTATATTGATTAAATGTTGGATTTTGGATTGATCGCTGATGGTTAATTAATACTTGAGTTTTACGCTGTTCATTTTTATCCACTTTTATAATAATGGTATCAAATTAAGAATAGGACATGAACAATTGAAGATTATTGTGTTCAAAATGAGACGAATAAACGAAAATAAAAAATGCTTGGATAAAATTTTCTAAAATACAGGATTTTAAGTTGAAAATTAAAAAATTAATAATGGATAAATATATAGGTAGTTCTAATTTTATTAAATATACCTACAGTTCATCAAATTTCTAGAGGTGTTCGACGCCCAGACAGAGAACGCGCTACGTGTGACTAAGATAGCTATTGTACAGTCTGCTAAACAAGTTATTTTAAATAGTTTTTAATATTTTTAGGTAATTAAATTTTAAAAGTGTGGAATAGTTTAGGGATTAAATTGGTCTGATTGGACTTTCTTAGAACGTTTTTAAAAGCAGCTAAAGATAGTATGTAGAATTGAAAATAATTATTATGCCATAAAAGGTGTTTTGGAATTCCTTCAACCTTTTGAAATTGAGTCAGAAAACATAAATTTTATAGGATAGCGGAAAATACCTATAATTTTTTTGTAGGCCTTTGTAAATCGTGGAAATAGATTATATTTTATTTCTACCTTATTAAGGAAAATGGTACCTATTATTAATAACGGTTGTTTCTGAAACATTACTAAAATTTTCGAAATTTTGTTTTTCTACAAAATAATAAACTATACTATTTAGAAAAAAATTTATTTCTCTTATAATTTTATAAAAAATAACAGGGGAATATTTACATTTCTTGATCTATTAAACAAAACGATAAATTATCTCGACGAATGACACCATGTTCTAGTACGGAAGCTAGCTTTACATTTTTGTTGGTGGTTTCATGGGTTTCATATCAATTTTTTGTAATTGTAGTTTACACGTACATATACCTCTTAACACTTGTTTGCTTTATTAAAAAAGTGTGTTGTTGTGATTTACGTCGAAATAAGTCAAAAACAACTTGAAACCCCATATAAAATCAAAAAGGAGAAACGGAAAAAAATTGAGCCTGTAAATGAACACAACTCAGAAACAAAAATAGCTATCTAATAATAAAAAAATAAAATTTGATTCTTGTGCATCTTCGTTGTAAAAATAGATAATACTTTTTTGATCTTAGGTACAGATATAATTTTAATGGTCTTCCGAAAAACTTTCTTCAGTTTCCATATCAGATTCAAAATCAGTCTCACTGTCACTGTTTAAGTTAATTATAAATCTATCAGTTGCCTCATCCAAAGTAACTTCTCTGTCATAAAATTTAGATTCCCACATTTTAGCATTATTACAACGAGATTGCCACTCCTCTTCAGAAAACGTGTCAAAAAAGTCTTCACACAACAGTTGTACGTCTTGCCTCTTAAATGTAGTGTTGTTACTAGCTACATATTGTTTCAATGATGCCCACACTAATTCGATCGGATTAAGATCGGGATGATACGGTGGCAAACGCAAACAACTAAAACCATGTTCATTTATCATTTCTTCAATTGCATACCTCTTAAATCGTGACTTATGCAATAGCACTAAACTGTATAATTGCGTTTTGAGCATATCCTCTTCGTAAGCAATATTATGATTCCTAACCAATCCTGCATGTCAGCTTTTTTAGAAGTTGACGTTGGTGCTTTATTTACCTGGACATTATGGTAAGGAGCATTATCAACAATAATGACGCTTCTTGGAGGGAGGTTCGGAAACAGCTTTTCTTTCAACCATTTAGAAAAATTATTAAAATTCATTTCATCGTGGTAGTCTCCACTTTTGGTTCCAGATTTGAAAATTAACCGGGCATTCGGAATAAAGCCCATTTCACCTCCTGCATGGACAATAATTAGTCTATCACCTTTATTAATTGGTTTCTTTAATCCCTCATTTGAATTATCACTCCAAGCTTTCTGGTGTGTGTGGGAGGCATGAATGTATGTTTCATCTAAGTAGACAATTGGACGGCCCTCTGCTCGATAACTTTTTAAACGAATCAGATAGTCTAAACGTAGCTTTTGAATATCAAACCTTTCCATTAATATTTTTCTGTTTGTTTTTGTTTTCCGCCAACGAAATCCTAGCGACTTTATTATTTTTCTTAAACCTTCATAGCTTCCTTTGTACCCTGTAGCTTCTCTAAATTTAGTCAGAATTGTTTTTAATGTTGGAACAATATTTTCCGAGATTAACATGAACAGAATAATTCTTTTTAAAATACCTTTGTCAGCTTCATCTATATCATTAACTGTTTTTGGTTTTTTAATGGTTTTTCTTGGTGATGAAAATTCCGATATCTCACGGTTATCGATTCTTTTTTTCTCTCCAGAAATGCGGACGACAGTGTTTTTAGATACTCCTGTGGCTGCAGCAACACGATCATTTACATTTTTAAATGGTATTGAAGGTGAATTAAAGTTTCCTTCTCTTCTCATAAACTCTATAACATTGGCTATTATTTCGCGAGATTGACTGTTAATCACGCGGCCTCTTAATTTGCTATTAAACTCCATACTTAGGTTCTATTAAACTGTAATGAGCAAAAAACACAAACGAAAATAAAAGAAATGTTTTAGCGAAATTTACTTCTGACATTTACGTCTGAATAAAATAGTGAAATACTTGATGCGCAGAGTGTACTTTCATTGCGTAAATCCGTCGGCCCCACCAACCGATGCCTCTCAGTAGTGCTTTCTCTGTCTAGCCGTCGAAAGCCTCTAGAAATTTGATGAACTGTAATTTTACTAAAATCGGCTCTGACAAAATTTAACTAACATATTTTGTTACTATTAGGTAAACTTATAACAATACCAAACACGTTTAGTGAAATTATACTAAGTAAAAAAAACGTTTAAGCCACTAATTTTCAGTTTTCAACTTTTAACACCATTTGAAAACGAGTAACATTTCATAGTAACGGAATCAGTAGCACATTTAGGTGTAATAAAAAACATTTATCATTTAATTGTTTTTTGTACATGGAAATACTTTGCGGCATGCCCTGCAGTGATGAAGCGCTCAAAGAACGCGTCTTAAAAAATAAATTATAGAAAATGCGAATGTTACATATTTGATTAGATAATTAACATTGACATAAACCATCTTAGCTCAGGACGTTAAGTGCTCAACTTTGGATTTCGTGAAGTTCAGTTCATGACTACTACTATTTTTTTCTGAACCGTTATTAAAATACTACAAAATTTAGCAGAAAGATTGAATTAATTGTAGGGGTTATATTATGATAAATAAAATGTATTTAAAATAAATAAACAGCATTAGTCGTATTTTTCATATTTTTTCCAAAATAAAAAAGAATGTCTTTATCTGTAACTAAATCCGGGTTGGAAAATCCAAACTTGAACGCTTAACGACCTAAGCCTTGAAGGCACTTATGTCAAGTTAATTATCTAATCAAATATGTGACATGGCTTTTTAAAATACCATCATTGTGCGCTCATCCACTGTTGGTGTGTCCATCTTCTACAAGAGAAAAAAGAAGGAAACTTGTAAAGTTGCCTTGCACAAATGTGTACCAAAAAAGGGCAACTGGCTCTCCTAAGCTTTTTTCGTTTAATCGTCTCATTATTTGAACACTAAGCGGCAGCATAGGAAATTATATTAAAGTTAGTTTTAAGAACATTTAACATTCAAATAAACAAAAACAATTAAATTTATTATTAAAATCTGTGTTGGAACAAAACATGTAAATTTGTTGAATTTGGAAGATAATATTCTAAAAAGTGAAAGGACTTTAGTCGAGAGCCTATTGGACTGAATATATATTTATAAATTACACTGGTCAACAGTGATTTTGTGGACGGGGGTTCAAGAGCGTTTTTGAGCGATCGTTTTACCGATTTCAAATGTGACTCACGTT